TCCGGTGTCGAGTCGGCAAAGACAACATGCCTTCAGTCGAATCATTCTTCTCAAAGAGGAAAATGAGAATGATGAGAGCCGTTCTCTAGCAGATAGAGAACTAAAAATGATGAAAGCGAGGATGAACACAGAATGAGGAAGTTTGTTTTCGCGACCCCAAAATAAACCAAGTATACAGATTATTTCCTCATTCTCACTCTCTTCATTATAAACTGTGAAGAGAATGAAGCATCCAATGAGAAACGTGCGGATTTTCACGATGAAAGTCTCATTCTTCATTAAGAGAAGGATGAAATGAGGAGCCTGAAAATGAGTAAAAATGTTGTAATTTCTCGCTCCCCATTACTGCTTCGTGCAACCCCGGCTTTGTTAGCGGTTCTCCTAACTTGCTCAAACCGAATTCCGCCTGGATTGCTGCCCACTCTTCCGGCTCACTTGACAGGACGTCTTGATGGATGTAGGCTTTGAAGTTGACGTCCTGGGGGTTGTTCGCCGGCTGCGGGCAACGTAAAGAATAGTCAATCTGTTTGTCTGACGCCTTAAGGGGTTAACGAAGCCAGTCCCCAAGGTTTGACGCGCTAACCCACGTTTTCCGTTTCCCTACTCTTGTCCAGAAACCAAGCGAGCCCAGAACAATTAACATTAAGTTGCAAATGATGCAGTCCAGACACAATCTGTTCACAAAGGAAATCTTGACCAGAAGGGAAACACACACTTGTTCAGGAAAGACAGCCGGCCCGCAGTCCGCAGTAAGCAGAATTTTGCGGAGAGTGGAAGTGTTCTGTAAACAAGGCACGTCTGCTTGGAAACGGCTTCGCAAAGTGTGACTGCAGGAGAAAACGGAGTCGTAAGAGCTGAATTGAGAAGGTAAGAGATTTCAGTCAGGGAAGATGTCGGCGGAGAGTGAAAAGTGTCCTGTAAACAGGGCACGTCTGCTCGGGAACGGCTTCGCAAAGTGTGACTGCGTAAGAAATTGAGGTCGTCGACGCTGGCAGTGAGAAGGTAAGAGATTCCAGTCAGGTAAGTTGCCATCTCGGCGGTGATTGACGCCAATCCTTGTAACGACGTTCTGAAATGACAATTTCAGTCAAAAATATTCTCGATGGTACTAGATGAAACACTTACCCGCCCAATCTTCACGTGGCGGGTCTGCTCGTAGGCGATGAGGAAGTTGGCGGCCACTGCCACCTTCTTTCCCACGTCGGCTGTCATTAAGTCGAAACTGCATGGACAAAAAGGTCATAGCATCGACTTGCGGCCACTCGATATTGACAACCATGAAGCAAGCAACGGGGGAAGCAGACAATTCTCTTCAAGAATCACGTCGAGCCACCGCTTGTTACTCGACTGCAAAGCTCCACCATTGCACATTTAGCAGAAAAATCCAGACGTGCACATTTATCCCCCTTCAAAACCGGGCACAGATTCCTCTCAATTGAAAATGAGCGGAGATGTCTCAGTGATTCCCGGATAGAACGAGTGGGCGGACACAATTAGAAAGGACGAGGCAAGAGCATAACAAGGGGAGGAGATCAGTGTAGCCCGTAGGGAAGGAGGGGGTGAGAAAGGGTTTTCCTCAAGTGTTGCAAGTGTTACGAGGTTTGAACGTCGCGCCTAGAAAGTCTTTGTCAATTTGTTCTTGTCCATTTGTCTAGGTCTTTGATACTTTTTCGCAGTTGAAAGAACTGCTGTCAAAGAACTGTTGTCGTCAGACAACGCTGTCGAGATACTCACCTCTCGTCCTGAAAGCTCGCGTCGATCAGGAACTGGTACGCCACCGAAAGAATGATGGCGATCATGTGGAGGTTCTGTTGGCGCCCGAGGTCACCGATCCGAGTAATGCCTGACAGCCTGCGCACAGATAGGTGCATTGATGTGGCGAAAGACAATGCATAGTTACAACGAACACCGAAATCGCTAATTCCACAGCTCCTGTGCGCTCGTCGATTCTCTCTTCCCCCAAGTGTCGTGACTTGTGCAGGAACTGTCCTGAGCCTCTGCCATTGTTCAAACTGCGGCGTCACATCGCGGCGTCATAGTTCCCGCTCAAGCTGCTTCGTCTTACCTAAAGCGCGATTATCTCGATTGCGTCTACTTGGTCCTTAAAAACCAGGACACGCAAAAGTTGTAAGTCACTGCACACGGACTTCGCCTCACTCCAGCTCCTCCTATAAACACACCTTTGACTACAAATTCTAACCTCCAAACCCGTATAGCTCAGGCCAAGGAAAGGGCCAACGCCAGAACACCTCCAGACCGTTAATACTCTCACCTATTTTTCCAGTGAGAGTGCCTTTCACGTCGTGTCAAGAAAACGTGTGACCACGAAACCAGACCTCTTGGGAATTGGAACTTCAAGACTCACTCCGAGACGAGGTCCACAAGACACCGCCATGCGCGGCCCCGGCACGGCCCCTAGCCCCGGTACACATCACGTTGGGCGCACCAGTGGATGCCCACATTCTCGGACTTGATTCCGTAGCCGTGACCCGGAAACCCGTACTTGGAATCATACGCTTGCAGCAGAATGCAGCGCTTCTGGTTCTCGGCGTACGCATACGGCCCCGTAAACTCTGGCCCCGTAAACGCCCGGCCGTTGCGCCCCAGGAACGTGTCCGCCATATCCGGGCCCCACTTGTACGGCGCCTTGATGGGGTCGTAGCCCTGCCCGTAGGCCCGCAAGAACCACCGCTCTGACCCCAGCCCCCCGTCGTCCCTCCGCACCGTCCGCTGCCGGACCTTCAGCATCGCCCAGTTGACGTGGCTCAACGAATCCAGGAGGATCATTTGGTGCTGCCCGTCCGAATTCTTCATCTTGTCGCACGCGATGATCGCCGACACCCGCGTCCGGCCAATCCGATCCTCCTCCGTCCCCGGGAGGTAGGCGGCGGGGTACAGCCCGATGTCCATCTCCTCCACCCACCCTATCTCTGCAAAGTTTTTGAACACGTCTACAACCTGCTCCTTCTCCGCCTCCGGATCGAAGTCGTCCCGCGGGAGCAGAACCTCCAGGATGCTCCCGATCTGATGGACGCTGTGGATGCGGCGCGACCCGAGCGGCTCCGGCACGTTGTCCAGATCAAGGAGCCCCAGCTCCGCAATCGCCTCTCGATCGTGCGGGTCTGTCTCGAAGTCGGTGCCGCCCGCCGTTTCCTTCGGAGGGAAGGAGATGCCCCGGATGACGGTGGGGCCCTGCGGCGAGTCGAAGTCGTGGATGTGCTTGTTCAGGTGCTTCGGGAAGCACCTGACGGTGTCGTCCTCGGGCATGAGGCCTGTCAGCCAAAAGAAAACTTCAGTTCAAGGTCATGAAAGTATCACCACAATTAGAGAAAGTCGAAAGGTTCTTCATTATTCATCAAGTCAGCGAGCACGTCGTCAGGCAGGTGGACATCGCCAAGAATCTGAGAGACAAACAGGCCCGACTGTTACTCTCCAGGTTTGGGACGAAGACATTGGAAGTGTGACACTCTGCAAACTAAGAGCCTGTAAAAATCGTCAGAGATGAGTTAAGTTGGTTCATGTAGAACCGTTCGGTATCATATTGGACAGAAAAATAGTTGCATTACGAACCTGATCTAAATACTAGGATGTGACAGGTTACGGCAGAGAAGAAAAGCGCGCAAATGAAGAAACTTGAACGGGAACGAGACCCCTGACACTTGACCACAGGTAGTCAAGCTGACCAAACAGAAGGTTCCAACTTAAACGGAGTTATAGGAGCTTCTTAGATTGACTGGGCAAGATAGGATTCCCTGAAATCAGTCGAAACCTGTTGAACAATCCCGATATACAGGAAGCGACAAGAGAACACTATTACTCTGGACAACCGTCGGTTAGCGTGGAGGTGCAAGTAAACGTAACCCGGGATCGAAGCTTTATCCATGGCCGGATTCAAAAGCCATGCCGTAGAAGCACTAGCACACAGGACACTATACCGAGACAGGATACTATACTGAAAAAGAGTACAAACGGTTTCATTCTTTGGCTGAAAACCTAGACTGAAGGTTATGTCAATGTTATAAGCTGAAATGCATCACCCGATACGAGTGTCACGAGCGTCGCAGTAGCAGGTTGGGGTCGTGGCACTGCAAAGGTCAACGCAGCTACGTATTGAAGCCAGGCCGCCACGCCACCACAGCCTGCGTACGAAAAGAATTTTCCGGTCAACTGTCGCCAAAAAGCTGATGCAAAGGTCCTCGACCCGCCTCCACGAGCTTCCAAAAGACGTCAACGGTTCGTGGAAAGCGAATGTCCTTGACATCACAAAGACTGCCTCCTCAGAAGAGTGACGTAAATGATGACGAAGGTGAGGAGATTCGCCGGAAGAAGGACCACAGAGGTGACCGAGCACCCCCACAGAGCACCCTCTGCACAGAACTACGATGTGGAAGGAGAACTAACAAAATCCGGAATGAAGGTGGTGGAAAACAAGGCCGCGCCAATTCCAGCAGATAACTTCGGCAAGCTAGGTAGAACCTTCGATCGGCAAAGAAGGTGCCATAAGACGGACGGCACCTACTGCTGCAGCCCGAGGGGTAAGAGAAAAGATAACAGGAAACGCAACTGGGGGAGGATATCAAAAAAGCGAGACTCGCCCAGAAACTGCTTTTACGCGGACATTTCAGATCGTGGACTGAAGCAGAGAAGGCAGCAGAGGAGCTCGAAAACATTGAATACCCAACACACGACGGCAAACGGAACAAGGAATCCATGCCGAGCATTACTTACACGAGGGACGGTATCTTTGGACGGTTTGTTGGGGACCTCGCGACAGCTCGTTGTCGTTGGCTGAGGCGTCCGGATTGCCTTGGCGTCCGAGTTGCTGACAAGGTCGCTGCGCGGAGCGGAGACGTTCGCTTCAAAATTCTCGACCAACGAGGAACAACCAAGGGACTGCATGAACTCTTTTAAAGAGGTTCTGTAGACACTTGAAAGCTAGTCCTTGATGGTCGAAGAAACGGGAAAATCTAGATGGACGATCAGCACAAGTACAGTCAATGTTCTGCTTTCGTAATGGACCTGGTCGGCTAAAAGAGCGGCGTCCTCTGCACCGACTTACAAATTGACTTGGGTGGAGAGGGCCGAAATGGGAAAGACTCGGGACCAAGAGACGAAATATGAAAATGGCATCAGACAACCTTGGCTGGCGGCCTTTGTGAAACTGAGACGAGAACAAAAGCGCCTTTCTGCTTCAGCCAAAGGCATCACTCGCATGACATTCGGACTCAATATTTTCCACAAAAATGTCCACAGAAGGTAATGGTCCGTAGACGCACCTAGGAAGTGTTGGGGTACGCCGGAAGATCAAGTACAGGTTACTGGTTGAGCAGCCCGCCGCATGCAACTTGGACACCTGCAATAAATCTCCTTAACACCCAAAAGAAAGGTGCAACGACGGACAATCACCTGGCAAGCGTGTCGGGGTACGCTGTCCGGATGGCGGCGTTGTTGTTGAAGAGTCACGCTTGAGATGGTCGCCACGTCCTGTTCCAGCACGTGGGCTCCACGAACGCCTCCGGTTCGATGTTGTTGATTGCACGACCGCGCCACCACCTTGATACCGACTAGTCCCCACCTGCGGTGTCAAAGTTGGAGGGCGCGGCTTTGTATAAGCTTCGCAGATTCTTAAAAATGTTCTCAAACGGCCGAAAGACTGTTGTGAAAGGGGTGTCTCACACCTGGGACTTCACGAATGGGAGAGAGGGCGCTATGCGACGGCCGGTGATCCTTCAACGGCAGAATCGAACAAGCGTTCAGAGCGGAATGGCGCCGGGATTGCAAAGGCCTTCGATTGAAGAAGCGCGGCTCTGGTGTATGGGTCAGTCGAGAAGGCGAGCTGATGGTGGCATACCGAAAAAAGAAGCGGAGAGGGAATAAAAGGGGGCACTAATTACGACGCGGATTAACGAAAGTGGGTCATATAAAACATCTAAAATATGCAACTGTTGAATGATGCCGGGGCTCTCAGCAACGCGCCCATATCCAATATCTCCGCCGAAGAGAGTCTAAACAGTGCTACATGTGTGAAGGTGAACACATATGTTGTCTGGCGCCCACATCCGCCAGGCAAGACAAGGCTGGAACCAAGAGCCTGAACCAGGGCAAAGGCCAGCAGAAAAGCTAATCGGAGGTTATTGTCTCTGGGCTGGGCTGTATCGCAAATCAGGTGTAGGTTTATGAACATACTTAAAATTGCTACAGAAGCGTGAGAGTACACTTTTGTGTACACCCCAACACAGAGGCTCGAGCAGAAGGTTGATATAGGCTGCGTTTCAGATGGTGTCACCTGGTAGAAGTGCTCCAGAAGCAAGTCGTGGTCGTATAGTCGAGGCTCGAAGCAGCCACCGGTTGAAGCCGGGCCTACACGCCAATGCGGTCTGCGCAAGGAGCAGTATGCCGTCAGACGGTGGTTCTTTGCTTGACTCGCCTAACAATGAGGTCCATGCAATGCTCTAAAAGTTGTCTTCACCATAAGATGGCAGGGGCCAGGGGTAGAAAGATGCGTGGCAGGAAGCGGAAGCGTCCCTAAAAATTGCTTCTGAATGATGGTTAAGGAAAGGTTAGTGGCAAGTTAAGGATTTTAGACACACGCCACATATCTTACTTCTGTTCTTTCCGCCACTCAGTAGGAACGACTCACTCTTGTCACAGGTTCCGTCAAGCGCAGGGCTGATTGCCGAGCATGTAGCTTGCAGCCGTCGGTGAATGTGTGGCCGGCAGCGCCGCACGCAAGCACGCGCAGCTTGGTGCACGCGCAGCAGGGAAGCTCCACAGCTCCACAGCTTCACACCTGGAGGGAAAATCAGAGTGGTCGAAAATACTACTGACTTAGCGCTCTTTCATGAGTCTGGGCACTGGTGACAGAGAAGGGGTCTTGCTTAAATGATCAACGAACATGGAGAGAAACTGAGAACGTAAAAACTTCTTCCAAGGAGTGAGAAACGACTTGCTCTGCATGAAAGAAAAGGGCTCTTTTCGCCTGAAAGTAAAGGAGAGGTACTGTTGGGGTTGATTTCAATGGATTCGTAACAGATCTCAAACGATACTCCTGAGTATGACGAACACTGACAATCGATCTCTCTCTTCGGGTGCTCCCTGATCGAGAATTGTCAGGATCTCGTGAGCACCGAATAAGGCAGCAGTGTTGGAAACGCCCAATGACCCTAAAGTCTGATGACCCTGACCGATTTGACGATCCTGTCAATCTGCTGCACCTAATACCCCAACATGGACACCCCCACCTGACACGCCAGCTGTCAACACAGCTATTCATCTAAAATGGTGGACAAGTCACCTACAGCGGATAGTCTGGCCTTGGGGCGATTTTTCTTGTCTGCTAAGAGAAGTGCAAGCCACACACACCGGGATGGCTAAACAGGGTGGAATTGATGCTAGGAAAGTCTGAACACAAGCTATCCCGATCAAACCAAACCAGCTCATTCCCATGAAAGTCGAACGTGAAGGAGGAGTTGAGCTCTTCGACGTTGTTGAGGCGTGTGATCTGAAAGTGGGGGTCCAGCTTCCCATTCGCCATGCCCGCCGCTGCGGGGGGTCACACAAGCCATTGTCAAGGAAAGGATGTGACACTTGAGCGCCAAGTAAGCCCAGTAAGATCAAAGAAGTGGAGCCAACATCTGTCCTAGCAGCAATTGCCCCCTCACTAAGGTTGTGTTCCCAACGACTCTGGTAGACAAGCGCTGCTGACCATCAACCAGAATGGAGGTCAGAAAGGGGTTGTGCTAGAAGAATTTCAGAGAATGACAAGAAGTTGGGCGGGGGGTGGTTCTTGAAGAAAGGAAGCATCCAAAGCATGTATTTCCAATTGGCAGAGATCCCCTGGGGTGTAAAGATACGGTGCTAGGCTGATCAAAAGCATAAGTCCCTCAACCAAAAGAAGCCGATGCAACTGTGTAAAGATACAGTGAGATAAGGGAGGACGCCAGAAGCTCACATGGATTGCATCTCGCTTGTGCATGCACGCCCCCAGTCCCATGGTAATAATAGCCGTCTGGTTTGCTGAGGGGGATTTCATTGAAGATTTCAAATTCGCACTCATTGGACGATGAGATGTGGTAGCAGGAAGTACCAGAGGACAACTCAGCGACGTTCCAAGCATCGCAACCCGGGTCTTTCTGACATGCAGCGCAGCAAGCTGCAAGGCTCCCGGAACCTTCAATGTTATAACTGCCGACTACTGTGATCGCCCCTGCAGCGTTTGTCGCCGCAAGGATAAATCCCTTGTGTATGGTTAGCGACGCCGGGTCACT